GTATAAGAGAGAGAAAGAGAGAGAGCTCTTGAGTGTAATGGGTTGTGGGTATGTGGGATTAAAAAGAATTGATGATTGTTTTAATGAAAGTTGGCTAGTGAAAGTTGATTGTTTTATTAAAAAAATGTGTTCTTTGTATTTGGTTATTTGTTTTGGCTTACTTGCTTGGGTATTTAGTCATAACAAATGGTATCAAAGCTATCCTAATGAAAGATATCGGTGGATGGGTTGCTAAGTTTGAGATAAAGCCTTTTGATGGAACAAATAATTTTATGCAGTGGCAGCTACTGGGCTTGATGTGTAGTACAACAAGGACTGAGAGAGAGATGTGTTTGAAATAAAGAAACTACAACGACTACAAGGGGAAAGAGATTCAATAAAGAACCCTAACTACCATTCGTTTGTCTTTTATTCCTAAAATTAAATATGATGTATTGAATATAAATTTTTTGAAAAACTTGACAAATGAATTAGAAGGAATTTATATGCCAAAATCCATCAGAGCTAAGCTGTTTTTGAAGGAGGAATTGTATAGGTTTGAAGATAAAGGAAGGAAAAAGTTTAAAGATATGCTTAAACGAATTCGATAGATTTTTCACTCGGTTGTCAAGTATAGAAGAGATAATTAAAGAAGAGGAATATAGGACAATCATTTTGATTAATTCACTGTTGAGAAATGTGATGTCATAGCTACACCATTGATGGTTGCTGATGATTCTTTAAGTGTGAAAGATGTGATTGTTATTTTTACATAGCATGATAGATTAAAACGAGAATATATATATATATATATATATAAATATACATACTTAAAAAATGTATATGTATATAAATTTACAAAGGAGGGATGTTAAGTTACACTAGCGTATTGGAATCACTAATTGTTACACTATTTTATAAATTTCGGAACAATTTATATTTTAATAAACCAATCATTTAATTTAATAATTTATTTGTTATTGTCAAGTATATAAAGTTTCGAATCAATTTAATATGTATTACATTGATTGGAATATATCTCTTCTCATTATACATATAAGGATTAAAATTTTATTATTATCAAATAATTAATTAAATATTTCAATTAATTTCAAATTCGATTTGCATGTCGAGATATATAAAGTAAATCATATAAACATATATGAAATGGTGTAAAATTTAATCAATTTTACACGATTTAAGTGGATCCTTCGATCCTTATTTATTATATATATAAAATATTGGATTTCTTGGAGAGATGTGCACTTGACTATCCAAAGTCAAAAACTTGGGACAGAGTTGAAGGGAAATTATAGTGCTTGTAAGATTAAAATTTGAAAAAAGGGAGCCACGCAAATTTGAAAAGATTATTTAAATAATTATATGATAGAGAAGAAGACAACGCCAGGTAGGCGGAGTTAGTTGAGGCTTTGGTAAACGTCTTTGTTCATGTCACACTGTGCTTCAATCGATTTTATACTATGCTCACAAGTAAATGTGCAAATAGTAATAATAATAATAGAATAAATAGCGGTTCTCGATTTCAAGGCTTAATCAAAGTGTCAAGTTTAGTTAATTACACAAGAAAACTGCACTTATATGATGTTGATTTGCTTTAAATGATGAATAACAGTCCAGGACCGGGAGTAACTTAATGTGTTCATCTGTTGACTCAACAAACCCCAAGGTTTTGTGAATGCAACTGTCAACTCTCTCTCTCAATATTATATATAATAAATTCCATGATTTGAACATAAGCGGATTCATCAAGGTTGCCCAATATCAAGTGCAAGTTTCACAATCATAATTCATAAGAAAATGATTTTTTCTTTACTATATTGTTACAAAAAAGAGGAAATTATAAAAAATATTTTTTTTTGGAAGAAGAATAACCTTTTTTGATAAAGGTATTTTAAAAATAATTATCAAAATAAATTTAATTATTTTTAATTATATTTAATCATGACTTAATAAAAATGTCCTTAAAATTATTTCAAATAAATTAAATCATTCATCAAAATTCTTCTCCATTTGTATTTTCGATTTCTCTCTCACTATTCCACTCTTTCTAATTTTATCGATTTCTCTCTTTGTCATTCGTCTGCTATACTCTCAATTTCTCTCTCTCGCGTTTTTAGATTTCTCTTTCCTGCGCTTTTAAGATACCAAGCGATGGTTTTGATGTATTTGGGTGAATGACTATTTAAAGAATTTGATTTTTAGTTATTTTGGATAAAACTAAAATTGTAGAAATGATCATAGATGTTTGAGATATCTTTTAATTAGATCAATTCGGGACCTAAATACCAATAAATTCAAAATTTTGAAATTTATAAATTTAGGTTTTTAAAGGAAATTTTTTTTTAGTCAAAATAGGTGTTTTAGAGAAGAAAAATTGTGTTTTGATTTATAAAAACATGTTAGAAACACTTTAATCAGTGCCAAATTGTCTAAAAACAAAAAGAAATGAAGAGAGTTGAGAAAATTTGAACGTTTGGTTCATAAGTAACAACATTTTAGGTATTAAAGTGTAATAAAATATTTTTAAATATGGCGTATAATAATAATATTTTTTCAATATGACCTGTAATAATAATTTTTTTTTTTCAATATGACATGTAACAACCTAATCATGGCTTGTCACATATTTTTGTACATGAAATATAACAACCTAATTATGATGTGTTATATGTTTTTGTGCATGGTGTGTAATAACCTAACCATGATGTGTAATATATTTTTGTACATGGCATGTAATATATTTTTGTACATGACATGTAACAATTTAACTATAGCGTGTCACATATTTTTATACATGACATGTAACAATCTAACCATGATGTATAATATATTTTTGTATATGATACGTAATATCGTGTAATTTTATTAATGATAATTTTATCTAATTTAATTAAAAATAATTAAAATTTTAAAAAAATTATTTTTAAAAACATTTTATCTATAAAAGTTATTGTTAAAAATACCCTTATAAAAAAATCACATAGATTTTTCAAGTTGAAATGTATGACCGCAGCATTAAATATAAGAAAATATAAATATTACGTCGTTTTTGAATGATATACAATAGTTGATTAATTAGTGGTTGATTAAGCATGCCACGACTGGCAAGCCTTGACGACCTGGCACCACCAAGGTGTGAGGTCCGCCCACGATGTTTATGATCAACGTATACTTAATAATTAGACATGTACATCGTGAAGAACAGTTAAGTCAGGAACTGCAATAGGAGGAAACTAAGCAGGAGTTCTCCTTTTATAAGTTACTAGAGTGGTCCCCCGCTTTACGTGGGTGTATTTTTAACAAAAAATAATTTAAAATTACATAATATCATAAATAAAAATAATAATAGCAAAAGAGAGTAATTTTAAATTTATAAAAATTATAAATAATGATAATAATAAATTAAAAATAATTATTTTAAAATATTGATATTTTAAAAATATTTTTCCATGTCTTATTAAGCAAATTTTTTTATTTAAATAATTTTTAATTTTTAAAAACATTTTATTTTTTATACCTTAATATATGTTAATATTAATATAACCATATTTTGTAAATTACCATGATTCTAATGGTTAAATTAAATTTAAATTAAGAACATTTAATATATTGAAAGTCATTATTCATAAGTTACATAATTTATATGGGTAGCCAAATAAAAAAAAAAGCTACATAATTTATATAATAAAATTATTAAAATAAAACGAATATTTTTTTGAAAGTCAAAATAAAATGAATATTAATTACCATATTAAAATGTTCTTAATTTTAATGATGAATTTGGTAAATTATCTTCAATTTTAATCACTGCTTTTTTATCTTATGCCTTGATAATTATTTAGTATTAATCCACTTTGTGAAAATAATTTTGGGATCCCCCAATAATTTAGTAAGTCATTATTAACTTTATTCAATTAATTATTTTATTTTTATCATTCATCAAAAAAATAGTTTCAATTTTTTATTCTTATCTCTTTTTTAAAATAATTTCATAATATAATTCATGATAAAATCAGTTTAGATTTGGATGAGTCCCATTCACCTCTTTTTTTTTTTCTTTGTATTCTTAAAACAACAATACTGCTTCAACTCAAAGAAAAACTCCAATGAAGTAACGTTTTTTGTGCATATGTTACATTTATCTGTTGTGCAACGACACGCGAATTAAGACCCGCAAACGAAATATTACTGCACCCTGGATCATGCAGCATCTGCAGAAGTAATGGCTCAGATCTATTTGGATAATGTCTGTGATCTGATATATACTGCTATGCCCCATCTTTTCATCTGGGGTTAAACTTAAGCATAAGCAATTGCTTTCCTTCTTTTTCTATATCTAATATAAAATATAATTATTCTAATTTTATAATTAACTCTATCTAATTGTGCAGAAACGAAAGGAATAAAAAGACAGAGAGAGAGGCTTTCTTTAAAATTATAACAAAAATAAAAGAGGGAGTGGCATGATTAGAAATATCTGGGAACCTTGAGTTCAATCTCTTCGAATCCCCATTCGTTCAGGGGGCTCAACATGATTGTTGTCCTTTTAGACCATTTCAATTGTAAGTTCATTTTCACCTATCATGAACTCCCATTTTCCATATCTCCACCCCTTTATGATGTCGTGGTCAAATCTAGAAGTAGCTTTGGGTCTTCTTTTCATATATGTTATGGATATTGCGAAGCACCGAGAGTATATTGTCCAACGCTTGAGCCCAGCTCTTTTTAGAGGTCCTAGCCCAAATATTAGTCCAAATATGTCCAAGTTAGGCTCGCGAGCCAGGACATCAAAATTCTGAAACACCTGTCCTTCCTTTTTTATTTTTAATTTACTCTCTTCTCTAAAACCCAAAAAGGTTTCCCGCAAAGCTCATGCCAGCATCATCAAAGTCTAATCCGAGTCTCTTCTGATTACTCAAATCTGTAATCATAACGCAAAATGTTGCTAGTTGCGCAGCTTTTCACAAAACAATAGGAGTTAGAAGACAATTACTCATCCTTGCCATCATTCTCAATTAAGTAGCAGATTGTGAAATGTATTATTACGAAGCCGAAGAACTCTGTCAAAGTCTATACTAAAAGCCCAAATCATATTTTCCTCAACAATATTTGCATCCAAAAGATTTGTAGACAAAGAGTCTATTTCCTGATTGTTTTCAAATATTCTCGTCACAGGGCGCTTGGACTATGAAAAGAAAAACAGGCAGAGTCCATAATCCTAGCCATCTAAAAGCCTGAACCTACTCAGAACCCAAAAAAGGTTAGATGGCCAAATCACAAGACTTGGGTAATTATGGCTCAGCAAAAACTTTGAGAGAAACAGGCAACAAGTGGCCAATAAAATCTTGCCCAACTTGGAGTTCTCGGCCGCGCCGCTTCTTGCAGTCACTCTACCAAGTCCCCCGCTGTCACTGAGGCCATGAACAACGAGCCAATCACTTTGAAACAGGTCCCGGACCATAACCTTTGCCCCGTTGATCGTTACATGGGCACCAGATTTTGCAACAGTGATGTTGAACCCCTCCAAATAAGTCTCTAGCACTACCCCCTCATCCCAATTAACCAGATCTCTCCCTGGAATATTACAAGGCACGATGAGCCTTAAAAGAATTGATGGATACATGCTCCAATTGCTCATAAATGGCTTTATCATTTCATCAGAAGGAGCAAAGATTGTGAGCTTCGCATTGGCTTTTGGGCTCTCCAACTGGGAGTCGAGAAAAGATGCCATGGCAAAGTACCCTTTTGACCTTAAAGCTTCGCTGGCTTTATCAAATGAATTAAAATTACGAAACGTATCCGCAACCACACATCCATGCTTGGAAACCTTGAAGCTTGGATCAAAAAACTTGTCAAGTTTATAGACTACCAAAGTCCCATCATCGTACGCGGGTGTCTTGCCAATCTTGACTCCATTTAATGAAAGCTGATCATCAGACGGTGAAGAGGTTACGACCAGGGAGTGGCTAGACGACAAAGTGGTGAGTTTGGAACCAAAGGGGAGGGCATTGAGGAATGAGAGAGGAAGAGATTGAGGAGAGAAGTGGAAACGGAGAAGAGAAAGAGAGGGTTGACCGGACTTAGCGAAGACAGTATCAGATGGAGAGAAAATGGTGAGGTTTTGAGTTTGTGGGATCAGAGTTTGGGGACCGTACTGGAGGGTGAGAGACATGGATACCATGCCGATATCGGAGAGGACTTGGGCGGCGTTGGAGATGATATTGGAGGAGGCAGACAAGGAGAGAGAGGGTAGAAAGAAGAATATGAGAGAAAGGAGAAGTTGGACTGCCATGGTGGAGCTTCCAACTATGTGGGGGTGTTTCCAAGGTTTTTGGCTCTTGCTTATTATGGTGAAGGGAGGGTTTTGTAACTGTATGTAATTAAGGTCGATTTTTGCAGCCTGGCTTGGGTGGCATTTGGCGGGAAAAGTTTGTTAAGGAATGGTTTGTCGGAGTGACGATAATAGCCTGAGAATTATTTGTGAGGGACATTTGTAGAGGTATATGCATTAATTATTGAATCAAGTACATAAACTCGAAAACTTAATAAGAATTTATTTACTTTAAGAGTGATACGCAACTACTATGGAAAAGTTTGAGTGCTTAACCTAGAGTTTGTTTACTCCAAAAATGATACTCAAGTGGCGGAATTGGTTAGTCTTGAAAACCGCACAATGAGCAAAGAAGTGGACTAGGAAGTCCAGGAGTTTGACCTCTAACAATTCAGGATTGCCCTTCAACTATATAGATAAGCATGGTCCTCTCTGATTTGCAGAAGGAAGAGCATTATATATCTATAAGCGTAGGCTCTAAAACGTCAAGTTTTCTAGGAACTGAAAATCCAAGTAAAAGAAAGAAACAATGAAGTTACTTCTGAAGCTAATAACATCAATGCCAACATACTTATTCTCATTCTAATTTGATCCAGAAAGTATACAAGAGAATTACGGGTGGGCAAACGCACTACAAGCCAAATAGACGAGGCTTGGCAAACCCTAAATACATCTTCTTGGATCAAATAAACCATCGATGAAGGAGATCAAAAGGTAGTTAATCCAAAATAAAGATCGTTGATTGGCCAGCCAATCTGCTCAGATATAGCCCTTCCTAGAAACATGCCATACAATGGAACTCCAGTCTTGCTGCTGCTTACATCTCACATCTCACCACAAATGAACCAGTTAATTGACAAGCAAACAAGGTTTAACAACTTAATTAATTGCAGAAAGCTGTCATATCTGTATAGGGCACTAACACCCAATATGCATAGCTAACCAAAATCCTGACTCTGCCCATTGAAGACAAGGTGATGACTACTGACAACCTACAGAATTTGGCAATTTTTGTTGTTCAAACGACAAAGAAGATAATTGAAAGGATGAGAAAGCACCTCGCTTGATTTAGAAAGAGAATGATGAGCTGAAGGCAACACAACCCCCTTTCTCCCCTTTGTCCACTCAGAACCAGCTGAGAGGAGGTAAGATATTGGATTCATCTGTCATTCACAAAGCCAAATAAAGAGGGAAATATACATGCTTCTAATCTTTCACACTAAATACTTAAGTGATATTAGATTCCAGAGTAATTAGTTCAATGATGAATAAGGTTAAACAATAGCAATATTTTTCATCCTTAAAAAGATCATGTCTTCTCAGTTACAACTGTCCGTTATCCAACTGACTCCAAATCTACAGTTTTGAAACTGCAAAATCTTCAACTTGTAAATAGCCAAGGTGAGGATAAAAGATATTGCCACAAATTCCCACATTTGATTCATATCACGTCTATCAGGTACCAAATATGGGGCTCAGATCCATTTACTAGGAAAAGATGATGACAGTAGTGGGATCTCGTATGAACCTGAAGGGCACCATCATACAGCCCAAAGTATCTCCCACTACTGGCCTCCACCAACTAATGGCATTTTCCTCAGCTTATCAATCTTCCGAGCCAAATTTAAAGCCATATCCTTCTTCCCCTCATCAAGTAGAGCCTGTTTCAGATTACTAAACATCTTGGCTGGAGGTCGAATGCCTGCATCCAACATTTCCTGAAAATACTTGCAAGCATCATCCAACTTACTATTGTGACACAAGCTGTTAATCAAATCAGAGAACATATGCATTCCTGGAAGCACTCCCTTGGCCTTCATCTGAGCCCAAACCTGCATTGCCATATCCACTTGATCCTCATTGCAAAACATCCTCACTATAATTTCGTAAGTACTCACGGTTGGCTCACAGCCCGGCTCACTGGTCATTTTCTGGAAAACCAAATAAGCCTCTTTCAGCCTTTGAGCCTTTATCAGGTGATGGAGAATTATATCATATGTTCTTGAATTTGGACCGGCCAAATTTCTTCTCATCTCACCAATCACCCGAAATGCATCATCTATTTGCATTGACCAACAATAAGCTCCTACAAGAGAATTATAAGTAGGTGCCTCAGGTGCAAAACCACAACTCTTGGAACGTTCAAAAAACTCAAGAGCTTCACTTAACCTCTTCTCGGAACCCAACCCATTAATCAAAGTACAAAAAACATGAGGACTAGGCTTACAATTCTTTGCCTCCATCTCATGAAACAACTCAACCGCCCTATTATACTTCTTTGCCCTACAATACGCATTGATCAAAATACCATATGTCACAACATCTGGCTCGAAACCCTCATCTTTCATCTCTCGGTAAACCTCGTCTAACCTCAATAAGTTGTGTTCTTTTCCCCATCCTTCCAACAAAATTGTATAAGACTTGATATCAGGAACAAACCTTCTCTTTTTCATTTTATCAAACACTTTGTTCGCTTGCTCAACATGTCTAGACTTACTCAAAGTATCAATCAATCTATTAAAATCCGATGTTTCAAGCTTGAACCCAAACTCCTCCATCCTCTCAAAGCCCTCTATAGCCTCTTCAACCTTTCGGGCCCTTGCGTACCGCCGCGAAATCAATGCAAAAGTATCTTTGCTTAACAATTTTTTACTCTTCATGTCATTCACTAAATTCCATATCAATTTGAATTGCTTAATCTTACCCAAAGCTTCAATCAAAGCATTGTAGCTTTCTGTATTATATTTAAACCCTTTTTGCTTCTCTGCCCATGTAAAAAATGACATTGCAATGACACCCGCATTGCTTAGCCTCTTCAAAACCTCTACAACAAGTGAAGGGGACACTTCAATCGAAGCGTTTTCGAGCAATTTATCGACGTGAATATCAGAGCGGCTTGAGAGGAGTTTGCAGATTTTGGCTGCGTCTTCTTGGAGTTTGGGTTCGGCAGGGTTCTTTTCATAGGGCTCAAAAGGCAATTTTTTTGGCGTTAAATCCTCGTGGATCGATCTGTAGATGATAAGATGAAGATTTGATGGATACCCAAATAAGTCTTTGTGGTCTGGAAGCGAGTTGAGATTGAAATTTTGATGTTTGATGGATTTCTGTGAGTAAGTGGCAACTGATGATCTTGTGCAAGGAGTTAGAAATTTGGGTTTTGTGTGGGATTTTGAAAATAAATTCAGAAATCGAGAGAGACCCATTTTGATTCTTTGTAATACTATGATTATGACTGCAAGATGAAAAATCCAAAATTGGAATTTTCCATTTTTGAGGGTATTTAATTTTGGCGGGAAGAGGTGTGGCCAGTAACGACAAAGAAGCGGTGAGATGAGATAGATTGCAGCGTTGCTGCTGTTGCCAATTGAATTCAAATATTACGCCCTCAAATACAGAATTCTACGTACGCGAGTATATGATTAACCATATTAATCAAAATACTGTGGAAAAGAAGAAAAAAAGACCCTTAATACTCTTCAGAATCTGATCAGTATCCATGTCATTCAACAAAATATACCGCTCCCCCAGTCACTCTGACTAGAATAAGTTGTCACTTGTTGATTTCTTTATCTCTCCATTTCCTACAGCTACTTTATTTACAGATGTTGGTTAAAATATCAGATGAACAATTCAAAAGTTCGTGGGACTATATAATAACCATCGCCAGCGACTTCTTTAATGAGCCTACCAGAAAAGAAATCAAGTTCTCTCGGGATTCATGATGCTTGGAAATGGTGAAGGGATGAGCATAGCTGAGCAAAACAACAGACTTTTCCCAGCTAGTTTTCCTAGTTTACACTTTCTTGCCACAAAATATTCCTGTTGCGGGGGTAGATAGGTAGATTGAGAGAGAGAGAGTGACAATACAACAGGATATTTTAATGAATGAATTTGTCTTCCAACATCAATGTGCCAAATGAAAGGTGGGTAGAACATATAAGAGCGTGCAAATGGCAACGCAAGAGGGAGGTCTTCTTACTCAACGAACACTTCTGGGTGGCTTGACCATTAAATACTAACCCTGAAGCCAACAACACAGAGCAAAACCTCAAGTGAATTCACTTGTTCTCCCCTTAATTCTGGCATCTCATATAAAAAAAATCATAGCCTGTGTGATAAGAGGAACCCCCAAAAAATAGGCGTACAGACCAAAGAATGTATCGCATCTGATGGTGTTCTTTTGAACCTTTCATGAGATTCAGATGCAAGGATAATGCACTGAGTCCCTGAAATATTCACCTTTTAGTTCACAGTTCACACCTCTTCATGTGCACTGATTAGACTGTGAATTCCAGTCATCAAGAAGGTTTGTTATAGTTTCCTCAAACTTCTTTGCCTGAGGTCCAGGCTTCAAGACATTTACATCACCCCATTGGGAGCAAGGATCCACCCACCAGCTCTTTCGGCCAGTGCACCATGCCCCAGGGGCAGCACGGTTTCGCCCACGATTGAGGATCATTTCATCAACCATGTCCAACACAGGATCATCTTTTTGAAACTGTCTCGCAAAAGCTGCTCCACTTTGGGCCATTTGATCATAATCAGTAATGTTGAGAAAGTGGGGTTCCATCTTTGGAGGACTGTCCCAGATCATATATCTTAAATCACTGTTAACAGTAGTATTCTTGAACTCCGGTGAATTGCAAATGACAGAATGAAAATAGCTTTCTTCAGCTAACATGACATTGTTGAAATACATCAGAAGGGTCCGGGGTAGATTATCCCACCCAAAAAGGCAAAATTCGAGAAAGGATCTACTTAAGACAACCCATTGGGAACCTGCAATTCAAATCCAAACCGTAAGTGATTGTAGCATCTCCATCGAAAAAAAAAAGTCAAATAAATTTTTATTTCGTGAACAGTAATGGACTGCAATGGTATGGATTGACTTTGCCTGTGAATACTTTGAAAGCATCAGGCATTTGTCGTTTCTCTGTAGCCTGAAAAATTTGGGTTCTCCTAGCTAGGTAAAGCCCTGGGTCAACTACAATAGGCTGGATCCGTT